ATGTCTCCTCATAATCCATACCATATTGTTGATTGAATCCCTTAACAACCAATCTAACTTTATATCGCTCAACTGAGCCATCAACTTTTGTTTTGATCTTATAGACCCAACGAGAACCAACAGCACGTTTACCAGGTGGCAATGGAACCAAATCCCAAGTATCAGTCTTATGCAGTGCAGAGAGTTCCTCAGCCATAGCCTCCTGCCAAATAGGATCAAGAATAGCCTCTTTATAGGAAAAAGGCTCAGATAGTTTGTAAATAGAGGTTAAAAAACAATTAAAGGGGTCTGAATAGCAAGAACTTGGTAGACTTACGAGAACGCTGAGGATATCGAGGGGGTGGAGAAGGATCTACAATCTCAGAAGGTGCTTGGAAGGCCATAGATGGAGTGGGAACATCAAGGACTTCTTGATCCATTGCATTTGTACCTGTAGTGCATTGAGTATCTATAATGCATGGGGTATGAGAGGGTGGATTATCTGTACTATCAAAGAATGGATCAATGCAAATGAGTTCAGTCTTAGTCATGTTATGAGAGTGATCAGGAATAGAAAAGAATGGAATATGCTCAAGGAACACAACATGACGAGAGACATACAATTTTTGACTAATAGGATCAAAACAACGATAACCTTTTTGCCCCTCGCCATAACCTAAAAACACACAAATAGCAGAGCGTGAAGTTAACTTGGTACGCTCTACTTTAGGACGAAGAACAAAACATGCACAACCAAAAACTTTCTAAAAAGAATAATCAGGAACATGTCTATATAATGTTTCAAAGGGTGACAAACCGAAAGTGTGAGACGATGGAATTCTATTGATTAAATAGATAGCAGTAAGGATGGCGATTGACCTCCCAAATTTTCAGAAGACCGATATTGCCACTGTTGTGATGACCGTTGTTGACTCTTTGGAGGTTGTTGTTTATTCAATAACTTAGGACATTGAGCCTTCCAATGTCCCTTCTGCTTGCAAAAGCTGCACTCATCACTAGCAATTCTTAAATAAGACCTCGTTTGATTCTGAGTGAGTGGTCGAGAAGGGACTGCCAAAACTGAAGTAATGGATGTAGATAGAGATATTTTTTCTTTATGAGACTTCAAACGTATTTCCTCTACTAAAAGTTCACTAACAACATAATCAACGGAAGGAAGTGGATTACGATCCAAAATAGACCCACGGAGTCCTTCGAAATCATCACGAAGAGCTATCAAAAACTGAACCAAACGCCGTCCCTCTCTGCTCTTAATATATGGTTTATAATTCGAAGTTCATCATCCTCTGTAAGAGTCAACTGATCCCAAAGGTTGGTCATTGCGGAATAGAATTCCTGAACACTCATATTTTTCTGCTCTATTGCTCGAATATCTGCCTCCAATTGGTATTCCATTGCAAAATTAGACTTTGTGAACAACCTTGCTAAATGATCCCAAATTTCCTTAGCTGTCTCATATTTTGCTAATTGTATGCCAATAGAGTGTTCAACAGAATTAAATATTCAAGTCGTAATTTTAGCATTGTTCCTGTCCCAAGTGCAAAGCATTTCAACAAACTTATTATTTTCATTCTCATCAAGCTGAGATTTGGTCTCAATACCAGTTACATAATCCCACAAAGATTTTCCTTTCAAAAAAAATTTCATCACAACGCTCCAATATGAATATTTTTTCCATCTAGTCTCATAGTAATCGACTGAAGCGAATCATCACTTACACCCACCATCACAAAGGATTCAACCAATAAACAACACAATGATACCAAAAAGTTTAATCAGACAACAGAACAAGGTTACCATAGAAAAAAAAAGACATAGAATAATCACCTCGTCATAAGTTTCCCAAAAGCAATATCATTTTTGTTCCTCAATTCTCCACTCTCTTCACACTTGAAGCAAAACCAATTCTTACAACTTCTGTACGGACAATAACACCTCTCCCCTCCCAAAATCGCCATTTCACATAGCGATGTCACTCTACCCGTTTCACAAAGCACGTCGCTCCACCCTCTTCACAAAGCACCAGAACAAATTACAATCACCAACTACAGACAAAACTCCTCACAATTAGGAGCTCAAAATGGAAGAGAAATGGAAGAGGAGACTAACTCTAACTGCCGGCCAAATCACTGGAAATGCAACACTGCCCAACTTGCCATGAAATCGTGATGAAATCTGCCGAGCTCAAGTAACGACGACATCGTCCTGTTCACCCAACTCCCTCTCAACTCTGATACCATGTGGAAATCATGATAGCAAGATGAAGAAGAAAACAATGGAAATAAGGGTTCCAAACTAAAAGGGGCTGAACAAATCGTTAATGAAAATGAGATTACAAGAGAGAATAAATAAAAAAGGCAAAAGACCAAACTACCCTAATCAAGTAAATAAAACTACAATTCTACCCTTTAACACATATATCAGTACATCATTAGCCTCCAATAAGTTCCTTTGTTATGAGAATGGTACCTTGGTTGAGAATGGATATTGCTCAATTGGATCCATTCTAACTGATGGAGAACTTGGAAACTGCACGACCAGTGTTACAGTCCCTGTGCTCCAAACAACAATAAATGCTCTTAGAAATAACTTAACATCGATTGATTGGGTTCTAAATGACGAATTTGAAGTACACTGGATCACGGACAATGTAGCATGTACATAGTGTGCAGGATATGGCAGGAGATGTGGATACAACTCAAGTTATTTTAAACCTATATGCTTCTGTGCCGATAAAACTTACTTGATGAGATGTCAACTTCCACCAAGTAAAATAATCGAGGTACATATAATTCACGCCTTATCTGACAAATGGATCAAGCAGAAATCTTTGTTAACACAACCTATATGATAACAAATAATTATGAATCTCAGAGTCATAACACAAATAAAAACTAAAGAGTATCTACCACTTCAAGTGCTGGTAGTCAATGTTATGATTTTAAACATGCCCATGAAACTACTTGCTTCATATCTAAGTGTTCTGTTGTACATCGCTTGTATTGCAGGAAACCATGCAAATCCCAGACTTCGAATTTTTAAAGGTATTCCCAACACGCTAATTATTGTATATGATCATATTACTTTCCTGCAAAACAACGTGATATCAATACCTTGTTATTTTCCGTGCAAACGGCTGCATCCATGTTTGGAGCTTGCATTCTTTTGGTGATATATATGCTATGTGTTTGCTTCAGAAGGAACTATATTGTACACGTGTTATTTTCCTTTTGGTTTGTTTCTTCTAGAAGTAGGAAGGACTTGTGCTAACAACACAAGCACAATAACTTGAATAATGCTATATGTACATCCTTCCTTACCACTTGGATGACACTCCGTTCTATGTAAATGAAATATGTGCAATGATGTGATGGATGAATTCAAAATCAAGAGTTTGGATATTGTCACGTGGAAGAGTGTAAAGAAAGGTGTAAATGAGAGTGTACATATAGCGTGATTGTAATAACTCTATCATTCCACAGAATGATGTATTACATTGTTGCCTATGTTTCTTTTCTACGAGATTTGTTCCTTAATCCCGAATTGAATGTCTTTGTTTGATTTGACATGATTTGGATGTGACGTGTTTTGATTTAGTGCTTGCAGAATTTTTTGATGTGACATAATTGATATTTTTGACCATGTGCTTTTAACATTGAAAAGTGAGAAGAAGTACCGTAGGATTATTTCAGTAGTAGTTTCTCGAGAAAAAAATAGAAGGTATTTTTTACTTTAGGAAAATGCACGTTATTGGAACAGCCCAAAATGAAGTAAAGATTTTCAAGTTTTTGATGGAGTATTTTAGTATTGATAGTTTAGTAACAGTATTTTTAAGCAATACTCAGGCGTTATGTAATTGATAAGGAACATAGATCTCCGAGTAGATTTAACAATGAACATAGCTCAACGGTGAAGAAGGATTCATGTAGTTGACCCAAATTTATTGGGAAAAAAACTTAGTTTTTAGCTATTGATGTTATTTCAATACTTGGATACGCTAAATAGTTTTAAAGCAGTTTGGGATTCCACCTCTTGCAAAATGGAAGGCGTTGCAATCGAGATTTCACTTCGATGATTTTTGATGCCTTGAAATTAGGAAACAATAACAATGTTAAGAATGCGTTGTGTGTGCTTGTAGTCTTGTTTTTTGGGGTTTCACTCCCTAGTAACTCAGTAAGTCACTCTTCGATGTTCATGAACCAGTGTTTGATGCTCCTCTAATTGTGTTGAACCACATAAATTGGGTTGCTGTATCAAACACTTTTAAGAATTAAGTATGCACTCAGGCTTACAAGTTTAATTAATTTCCTTGGGTCATAGTTAATAAACGTAGTATGAGTTTGGAAAACAATATTTACATAGAAACAAAAATAATACTGAAACTTCACTCTAACAGTATGGGGAAACGAGAGAAATGATCTATACTAATATACTTAAGCTGTCTTTTGAACTAAGTGGAAACCATAATTATTACTATGATAGGCATAAGCAAGGATGGACCCTGGGGGAAGGGGGTCACGTGACCCCCCAACTTTTGAGATTTTTTTTTATATATAAAATCATATTTGGTATCCATTGAAATCTAAATTTTAATCTAAATCAAAGTTAACAATTACTTTAATAACATATTTCATGAAATCCATAGCTGCTTAACTTTTATCAAAATTTACTAAAAATTTGATTTTAATCTCCACCAAACAGAAGCAAAATCATAATAAATTTGAATTTTTCTCTTTTCTATTACTCTATTTTACTCTTTGCCTCACACCTTTTAACAAAATCTTAACCCTTTTAATTTTTAAAAATTTATATATAAT